GCATTTGAGAGCTGTACAACCTTGGGCAAGTTTCCTTTTCTGACCTTCAATTTTCTTACCTGTAAATGGAATTAACAATATTTAATTCACAGAGTTGATATGAAGATAAAATGAGATATAATATGTAAAAGGATATAGTCTAGTACCAAATTAATAAATATTTATAAAAAAATCATAATCTCTGTTTTTTAATATATTTTTTCTATTTTTCAGTTATAGTTGACATGCAATATATTAGTTTCAGGTACAAAAAATAATGATTAGGCATTTATATAATTTATGAAGTGATCATCCCGATAAGTCTAGTACCCACCTGACACCATAATTATTACAATATTATTAACTATATTCCTTATGCTGTACTTTACATCCCTGTGACTGTTTTTATAACTGGCAATTTGTATATTTTAATCTCTTCACCCTTTTCACCCATTCTCCCAACCCCTTCCCCATAGCCTCTGTTTTATGGAAAATGATTTTTTAAACAAAACATATCTAGAAAATAGGTCAATTTTTCAAGAACTCGGGACAGTAATCAAAGGAAATGTCACAGTTTTTGGAAATGCTTCCTATCTTTTATGTCCTTATCAAGGTTTATATTCTTGAGATAGAAACTATGTTTTATCTTGGTATCCCCCAACCTACTTCAGTGCCTAGAATAGTGTCTGGGAGTACTGAAGATACAGGACATATTAATTTCCATACTCCTGGGGTCTAGTATAGTGTCTAGAACACAGTGTGCTTATTACACACATTAGCTCATTTAATCCTCACAAGAGTCCTCTAAAGTAGTGCTATTATCATTCCTGTTATTAGATGAGAAAACTAAGGCACAGAGACATTAAATCAATTGCCCAAAATTACCAAGCTAGTTAAGTGATAGAGCTGGAATTTGAACCCAAACAGTCTGCCTGCAGGCCTGAACCCTTAACATCTAACACAACCACATATGAGGTGCTTAATTAGATATTTATTGAATGAATACAATTGCAATAAAATGTGAACTATAATCAGGTAAAAGAAGGATTCCTTTATACATGTGTACTTTATACAATAGCCATTCTCCACAAAACTGGATGAAAGTCCACTCTTTTGTAAATTTCATGCATTTTACCAGTGTGCCCAGCACATTATAGTTTGAAAAGTTAACCCACACCACATATTAAGGGCTCCTGCTCCTCAAAGCAACCTGTGGTGACCCATTTTGTTGTATCAAGAGCCCTTTTTGTCACGTCAATAATCACCTCCTAAATTGTCTGATTTACACAATCAATTTTTTGTTTTTTTTTTCATGCACTGGCTTTTTCTAAAGCAGGAAGGGCTGGCAAATATCCTTTAGTTGATCCTGTTCCAATCACCTATAACCCACCCTCCACCTCACCTCACACCTCCAGCCATAAGGCTGGAAGAAAGTTAATGCCCTCTTCTGGGAGGTTGGGGCAATAGCACACATCAGGCTCACCGGCGGGGGGTGGGGTAGGGGGGGCGGGCATTTCCAGGAAATAATTGTCAACTTCTTTCAATTCCGGTGATAAAAATGGGATTGGTTTTTGGATCTTTTTCTGAAAATAAGAAATCTGATCTATTCAATCAGGTTAGTCTCCCAAAGCTCTGTTGTGTAAAGGAATGAAATAAAAATTCAGCTAAACTTTAGAAGGATGCTGAGCTAATATTTCCTTTAGTCAGATACGCTTTATATAAAATTTTAAATCATAGGCTATTAATAATAAAGTTTTTCATTTATTTAGGATTATCTATGTGCTAGATACTTTATATACATTATCTCATTTAAATCTTACCACAACTCTGGAAGATATAGAATATCCCCAATTTATAGTTAATAAAGCTGAGATGAAGAGAGGTTAAGCAGCAGCCAAAAATTGGCAGAACCAGGAATTCAAACCCAAATCACATTCTTTCCAGTGTAATACGTTGTCACTTTTTACTTCTTTTGATCCTGTGTCAAATTCTCATTACAAAGAGATGGCAGGAAAATGTTCCTGATGAATGTAATCCTGGTCCAATACCACAGAAACAGCAAAGAAAACTGTACCCCAAACTCTTATATAGACATTTTGATAGTTGTCCTGACAACTTGTTCTTTTATTTAGTTATGTTGAATAGAAAGATGGGAAGTTTAAATTGGTAGCAGACAAAGGTCAAGGGCCAAAGAGAATGTCGGGTCAGCAGAGAAAAGAATAAAAGAGGAAGGAGGAGTGGTGTAGACATGCAGTCAGAGAGGCTTCTTGGTCGTCTTTCTGCAAGTTGTGAGGCCAGAACTAGCACATCGAGGTGAGCCCAGCTTTCTGGAGAGCATAACTTGTACCAAATGCCATAACAATTAACCTGTGTCTGGTCCTTTGTTCCAGTCACTCTTTTAAGTGCCTTAAAAGTATTAACACATTTAATCTTCACAAAAATCCCATGAAGTAAATCTTTTAATTAATCCCATTTTACATTTAAAAATATTAAAGTAGAGAGAGGCTATGGTTTCCATTTTACAAATGAGGAAATTGAGGCACAGAGAAGTTGAGTAACTTGCCCAAGATCAACCTAATAAGTGGTAGAGCTGGAATTTAAATTTAAAATACTGGCTTCAGATTTGTGTTCTTATACATCATAGTACCCCTCCCAACATATTGTAAGGATAACTATTATTTCAGGAAACATTAATTCAGGGGTGTGCGTGTGCGTGTGTGTGTGTGTGTGTGTGTGTGTGTGTATGAGAGAGAGAGAGCGAGCGAGCGAGAGCGCTTATGTTCATATTGGGTTGTAATGTAAAATGTATTTATTCCTGTGAGTCACAGGCAAAATGTTCTAAAAGCTACTGCTCCAATAATAGTATTGCTGAATTATACATCTTCAACCTCACTAGGAATAATACAGATTGTACTCTGAAATGATTGTACCAAATCACATTCCCACTAGCAGTATAAGAGTTACCTATGTTCAACATCTTTATCTGAACTTAATAGTGTCAGACTTTTATTATGGGGACAACTTCTTATTTTATGTGATTTTAATTGCATTTTTATGATTTCTATTACATCATTGTATATGTTTTTGCTGTTCAGGTTTTGCCTACTGTGAATCATCTGTTTAGATCTGTTACTTGTATATTATTGTGTACAATACAAATGTATACAATACAACACACACAACAACAAGTCTCTGAAGGAACCAGCAGTTCAGATGGGAGAAACCTTAAGATCAGTGGTCCCCAACCTTTTTGGAACCAGGGACCGGTGCTCCTATGAGAATCTAATGCCTGGTGATCTGAGGTGGAGCTGAGGTGGTGATGCTAGTGCTGGGGAGCGGCTGCAAATACAGATGAAGCTTCACTTGCTCACCTGCCGCCCACCCAGTTAATAGATTGTTGCACTGGGATTTGAGTCCAGACGTAGAGAACCCATAAGCCCAGGCTTTTGTTTGACAATACATGCCAAGGACCAAGGCCATGTTAGAAAAAAATAGAGGAAGGGAACAAATAATTTTGAGCATGTAACCACGTCATGTGTCTAATTAGATTTGTGCAATTAACATAGATTATTTCCTTGTATCCTCACAACAACATGTAAGATAAAACATCTTATCTCCATTTTACAGGTGAGGAGACTGAAGCCCAGGGAAATGAAGAGAGTTGCCTTGGAGAAGTTAAATTACAGCTAATAAGGGACAGAATCACAATTTAAAGGAGGGAGTAAAAGAGGAGGGAGGAATAGTGAAGGCATGGAAGTCAGAGAGGCTTCTTGGCTGCCTCTTCACAGCTCATGAGGGCAGAATTAGCACATCATGGGAAGCCCAGTGTGATTACAAAGTCCATGCCTGTTCCACAATAATGGTACCTGTCCATAGATATTCTTGGTATGAGGTAAAGAACTCCTACCAATCAGGCCTGCCTCATCATCTAGGACCATGGCTTCACCTCCTACCCCACCTTCTCCTTAGAACTCCAATAAATTGCTTCCCCTTGGACAAGACCAGGACTCCAACTACCATCTTCCTGGTCTGGAGCAGTCTCAACTCAACTGGCCCAGCTCTGCTGCCTCCCATTAACCAGCCAAGCTAGGTGAGCTCCCAGCCAACTTCTACAGATTCATCTTCCATTGCCCCAGGCTTCTCTGATGAAGCCCACTCAGGATCTCAACACCTTCCAGGTAAACCCGAAAATCTGAAGTCACGGTTCTCAAACTGAGTTGCTCATTAAAATCACCTGCAAAACTTGAAAAATCATGATGCCCTGGTAACACCCTAGACCCACTACATCAGAATCTCTGGGGATGGTACCCAGGCGTATATGATTGTTAAAGCTTCCCAGGTGATTTCAATATAAAGCCAAGATTGAGAACCACTGTTAAGACATCTTCGAGTTCCAGCAGTCACACTCACACAGTGGTTTCCACATTTTAGTTTTCATAGGAACTTCTTAGAGCATTTGTTAAAATTCAGATTTCTGGGGACCCAGAGTCTGCATTCTTAACAGTCACCGCAGATAGTTTCACCACAAATCATTAGCAGACCACATTTTCAGAAATGTGACATTCAAAACAGTACTGCATGAAAGTGGAATGGGAACAGGAGGCTTCTGGCCCTTTAAGGACTAATTAAGAGACTTCCTTTAAAGCTGTGAAGCAGAGGAGACAAGGGGTGCTTTTTTTTTTTTTTTCATCCTAGTGGATAAGGTAAGGGAGCAGGTCCTGGAATGGACTTATCCTTTTAAGTTACCTCAGCCTCCAAGTAAGTGCTATCTTGTCCTTAGCCCTGGAGAGCAGGAGAGGCATGCAGCCTTGTCCCACCTGTTCTTTCTATTTGTTTTGGTGCAAGGAGGTCAAGTTAGGAGACCTTGTTTGGTCCAGAAGATCCTCCCAAACAAAACAATATAGAGCCTGTCTGCCTTTCATTTTTTTCTTGCCTTATCTTTTGTGGAACTAGGATGCGGTTACCTGTGTGAAAGGAAAGGGTCAAAGTGACATCTTTTGGGCTTAGGCTGGAATGTGTTGCTGAACACCAAGCCTTTCAAGATGGTCCTCCTCAGCATCCTTAGAATTCTTCTTTGGGGACTGGTGCTTTTTAAGGAACATAGGGTCCAAATGGCAAACACAGGGCAGCCCTCTGCTGCCCTCCTAGCTGAGGCCCCTACCTTGCCCCTGATTTGGAAGCTGCTGGAAGAAGCCCCTGATAAGCAGCAGAGAAAGCCACAGGCCCTAGGGCATCCCATGCAGTACATGCTGGAGTTGTACCAGCGTTCAGCTGATGCACATGGGCACCCTAGGGAAAACCGCTCCATTGGGGCCACCATGGTGAGGCTGGTGAGGCCCTTGGCCAATGTAGCAAGGCCTGTCAGAGGTGAGTTATCATACCATACTGTCCTGGAAGGGAGAGAAATGAGGAGGAAGATTGTAGAGAAAATGGGATCTTGAGTTTACTGTCAGACCTCATTGCCTGGTGGGCAGGTTTTCTCAGGCTTGGTTTTCAAAGGATGACAAACTTGGGGAAAGCTGGCTTCAAGCCTGCTTCCCTTTAGGGCCCCAATTTAAGAATAGATTGCCTTGAGACTTACCTGAGGAATCTCTCCCAGGCCCCAGGGCAACTGAGTGATGTGTCAACTCCTTTCAAAGAAAGTCTTATTGCTTGTTATATTACTGAAAACTGTAATTGAGAAATATCCATATACATTCTTGTGGAGGGCTCTTTATATGTTGTTTTATTCTTAGAAGGCAAAAAGTACAGGATGCTGAGTTGGGGAAATTTACAAGGCCTCGGAAAGGACAGAAATAAGCTAATGTCTGAGGGTCTGTACACCTGGCTCAATGAGCAGCTGCTATTTTACTTAATGGCAGCTATCATTAGCTGTCATGGAGTAACTGGCCTAATTTTTAAAGATAAGAAAACTAAGACGGTGGGTGGCAGAGATAGGATTTGAGCTCAAGTCTGCCTGAGTCTAAAGTCTGTTCATAACTTCTCAAGTGTTTAAATGTACCCCAATATCTTTGTATACTAAGCAGTTTTTCTATTTAGACCATGCTGCTACTTTGAGTTTCTGGTACCAAATGTATTTCGGAATTGTCTTTGCTCCCATCATGCTTAATTTTGCTTTAAATATCTGAATTCGACACTGTTCGAATTTTGCTTTAAATATCTGAATTCGACAGCAGCGGGCTCCTGAAGTGCAGGGCTCTCTAGGGAGTGCAGATGGCAATCAGGTTCAAGGAAATCTTGGAAAGATCAATATTGAGCCTTTGCTAGTCTCAGAAATGAAGACAGGATTTACACTTCCTCTTTTGAGCAAAACAGCCAACATCTCCCTAGCTAACCTTTACTGCGAACTTATGTGCTAGGCATTGGGCAAAATACGAACATTATTTTCCCTAATCCTCACCACTACTATATGAGGTAGATACTATTAGCATATCCATTTAATAGGTGAAGAAACTGAGGCTCCAAGTAACTTAATGTAATACAGCTAGTAATTTGTAGAGCTGTGTATGAAACCCAGACTTTCAGGCTCCAGAGCCTGCGCTTTTAATCACTTTGCTATGTTGACTCCCTACAACAGATCTGAATTAAGCACCAGGCTGGGTTGGATATAAAGAGGCAAATAACTGCTTCCCTGACCTCTAGGAACTCCCACCATAATAGAATTGATAAGTAATTGCATAACAGTGTTACAGCATGATGAATGCTTTGAAAAAGATAAGCAGTAGGGCTCCCAGATCTCCAAAGAAGAAATGAGACACTGCT